CTCAAGAGTTCCACCTGCTTCTGCCTCTTGAGTGCTGGAATTAAAAGCATGCATCACTCACAGCCCAGTTTAAATATTTTTTTAAGGGAGAAGAAAAAGGCTTAAAAAAATGAAACCAGAAGCCTGGCAAAGGGCTGGGGATATAACACAGCTCAGTAGTAGAGGCCTTGACTAGCATTCACAAGATGCCAGGTTTGCTCCCCAGAGCATAACCAAGAATAAATAAAATCAACTAGTAATCAAAACTCATACTAGCTTTAAACACCTTTTCCTCTACGTTTTTTGGGGTGGTGGGTGGGGGTAGTAAAACAGGGCCTATTATGTACCTCTGACTGTCCTGGTACTCACTCTGTAGACCAGGCCGGCCTCACACTCAGAGATCCACCTGCCTCTCTCTCCCAAGTGCTGGGATTGAAAAAGTGTGCATCACTTTTTATGTGCACCAGTCCTGGCAAAACATATTTCATGCGTGTACTTGCATGGATTCAGGTGCACCGTACGTGCACAGGAACCAGAAGGAATCAGATTCCCTGGATATCCTAGACAGTGCTGGGGACCAAATCTGGGTCTTCTCCAAGCACAGTAAGAGCTCCTACCTGACAAACCATCTCGACAGCCTAAAGGAAAAACAGACCGAGGGACCTAACTAACTGACGGCCTAGAGATCAAAGGCCCTAAGTCCACAGCCGGTACAGGCACCTATCCACTGCAGCAGTATTTTCTTTTCGGCCTTCTCTCAAAGGACTCAGGTTCGCATGCTCTGTGGAATAAATAAGCAGAAAGGGGGCACAGGAAGTGGTGTAGAACTTCTTCACCATTCATCAAGATAAGAACACCTGTACTGCTTTTCTAAGAGAAATCTACACTAATACAGCCCTTCCAACTCTTGTCTAGCTGTTACTACAAAAAATGGACAAATTGGTCAAATACTACCTAAAGCTGGCACAGACTCAATCACTGCGGGTGGGGGTGGGGGGCATTACACAACACTTCCCAGCAGCACAGCCACGGTCAGGGTATCTGACTGCCAAGCCACTTGGGCCCCTCCTCCCCAGCTAGACAGCCTGGCTCCTTTGCATTCCCCTCAGGAGATAGGGTGGAAGTACACAGCTCCACTCTGTAAGGCATAGAGGGCAGCTGAAAGTCCTGCTTGGCCTCTCTGGGCAACCACAGGCGCCAATAAATCAGCCACAGGCGATTCTCTCATCCCCTTCCCGGCTTGAAGTGGGAGCAAGACATAATGCACACGAGCACTGACTAGACCTGGGAGATAAGTGATCTAGGCTTACATTCCTCTGCAAGTGACTGTCACCACAGCCAGGTATCTCTCTCTGCTTCATTTCTGCAGGCTTAGAACGTGTTTGTGGCACGGAGAACAGGCTACCTTTTTAAGGGATTTCACCTGTGAAAACAGCTAGCAAAAGGGCAGCACGTAAAACTAAACACACATCGACAAAAACCCAACTGGGAACTCTTTATAGCTAAAAAAGACACAGCAGCCGGGAGGTGGTGGAGCACACCTTTAGTCCCAGCACTCAGGAGGCAGAGGCAGGCGGATCTTTGTGAGTTCAAGGCCAGCCTGGTCTACAGAGCGAGATCCAGGAGAGGCGCAAAGCTACACAGAGAAACCCTGTCTCGAAAAACAAAACAAAACAAAACAAAAAAAAGATACAGCAGTGGGCACAAATGTCTAGTGTGTGGGGGAGTGTAGTGGGGGGGGGGGAGCTCTTCTTGCTGACCCCCTCCCCCATGTTTCACAGCTTCCTATCTGCATCCCAGCCATCTGAACTATTTCATGTCTATCCCACTGTCTGTCAGTGGCTGTTTACTCTTAACTAAAACATACCCAGGTCGTTAAGGCTGATGCCTAACCCGAAAGAAGAAACAGTGGCCAGACAAGGTGGCATAAGCCTGTAGTCCCTGAACCCAGGAACCTGATGTAAGATCGATCCCTAATGCTACGATAGCCTGGACTAAACTCAGAGTACGACTCTTGTCTCAAAAAACAAACAAACAAACAAAAGCGTCAAATGCCTAGCCCTGTGAGTATAAGGTTGACGTGGTGCTGGGGGTGTGGGAAAGGAAACGAGCGTTTGGCTCCAAGATACACTGTGCACAATCACCCAGAAACAGTACCGTGCCTACTACTCTCTAGAGCCATCCCAAGGGCCAGGCCTAACTTCCCACTCAACCTGAGAAGTCCTGCAAGGCAAGTGTCATCCCTTCTGGTGGATACATTGTCCGGAGCAGGCTGAACTGACACTGTACAAGTTCAGTGGCAAAAAGTGTCTGCAGCTCTAAACCTAACCATGAAAGGTGCGGGATCTTCATCAAGCAACACTAGGCTCTTTAGGTCCGGTGTCTTCTGTGAAATGAATGAGAGATGAACTCGATTTTACCCAAGGTCCGTCTCAGTTCTGAAAAACCCAGATTCCAAGATGTACTTTAATCCTGTCAATCAACAGCTCTGCAGCTTTTAAAGGACTTGCTCGAGGCTCTAGAGGAAGAGCGGCAAGTTTTAACCCCTGAGAGGGGTACGGGAGTTAATTTATAAAACACAACTCCAGCTGCTATCAGGTTCCAGGTACCGCGCCGTGCGTTTCCTAAGCAACTGATAACGGCTTGCTATCTCCAAATGAGTGCTAGGGAGACAGACGGTGATGAGATGGGGGCGGACTTCAGAAAGAAAAACCATTTGGCTATGATACACGTGGGGGGGGGTGAATTATTAGGGTTGGGGGGTCTACCTGCCTTGGGAACTAGGTACTCACAAACTGGATGGGGGAGGGGACAGTGGTGGTAGCGCAGCCTGATCTGGATGGATACCCGCCCACTAGCTAGAGCCGCAGGCCTGGCGCGGTCGCCTGGAGCTAGCAGCAGCCACGGACCGACGGACACTTCTGCGCCCGATCGGGAGCCCGGCCCGCAGCGGGATGGGCTCCAGGGCTGTGCAGGGCCCGCGCGCACGCACGCGCGCGCGCCCTCCCGCCTGCGTTAGGCCTCGGCGGCCCACGGCCAAGGGCGGACGGCTCCGGGCGCCGCGCGCCCCAGCACTCGCTCGCCGTTGCTAATTTCCTTCCAGGGCCCCCGACTGACATCTCCAACGGACCAGAAAAAAAAAAAAGAAAGAAAGAAAAAACACACCCTCTCCCCGGCTACTTGCATCTGTCCCGCGCCGGGTGCAGCTGCAGCCGCCGCCCCGGGGCGGCTCGCGGCGGGAGGGGACTGAGCCCGGAGCAGCCCACAGGGGCAGGGCCGCGTTGCTTACCCAGACTCCGCCGCGGCCGACGGGCGGGCTGG